GGGAGTCTTCCATGTGGAATGAGCCGGAGGTGGAAGCCATCTTCTCGGTTGTGTAGGGAATTGGCAGAGCTTCTTCTAGGATCGTCTCAAGGTGGTTAAACCTTCTTAACGAGTTAGGCTCTGATGCCAATTGTTAGGATTTTTGGAAGCTCGAATCGACAACCGGAACGGTTTACAAAGAGGGGTCAGAACGATTTTGTGTTTAGGGAGTAAGGAGATTGAAAGATAGAGAATTGCACAGCGATTTATAGTGGTTCGACTTTCTCAATCAAAGTCTACATCCACTACCTTAGCTCCTCACCAAGGATTTTCCAAAAAATTCACTAATTTGTTCTTTCTTTTGAGGATAAAGAGTAACCTTACAAACTCTCCCTAGTTTTTCCGGGCTAAACTAGAACCTTTCCCTAGCTTTTACACGGGATTAGCTAGAACCTTTCCCCTTTACAAAAGGATAAGAAATGTAAACAAGAAAACCTCTCTAAGGTAGGTGTTTACAAGATTGAGCTCACAAGAACAAAATAAATACAAGAGAAAGATGAAATAAGAATGAAAAACTCTTCTCTTGTGTTTGATTGCTTGGATAGTTGTTTGAGAACACAATTATTTGAGTTAAGATATTCATGATAGTGAATGACATGAGTTGTAATCAGGTTAGATTTTTTGTGATATTCCATGATTTTTTTGGTTGAAATGTGCTTAGCTCAATGCATGAACACACTTTGGTGAGATTTGAGCGTTTACAAGCATATCATTTTGCTCTTATTTTTGTTGGATTGAGTGTGTCAAATTTGACATTGATATTCTAGAACGTGTATTTAAATGTTGTCAAGATTACACATGAACATGATGCTTAAAAATGATTTGGGCACCTTAGGATTAACCACTCCATTTTACCCTTGAAATTGCCTACCATGCATTTTCCCTAGTTAGCCACTCTTGAGCCTAACCCGAGCCTTTTATTTTATCCTTTTTTCTACCCTTTTCAGGACATGTGAACAGTTTATTCGGTGTATGATCATGCTCCATAAAAAGAGAAAATCATGTGCAAAAGAAGAAGAAAAAAAAAAAGGAAATGAAAAAAAAACAGTTCGAAAAGAAAAAACAGAAAAAAAAAACAGAAAAAAGGAAAAAACAACAACAAAAGTGCAGAAAAGTCAAATTAAGTTTGAAAGGAAAAGATTTTGTTTGATGTTTTGTGTCTTATTATTTTGCTATACCTAGTCGGTTTATGAACTTGATCTTGTTATTTGTGAGTTCCTTGTCTTGAATCTTAGTCGCATTATTAGCATATTTCCCCACCTTTACCTAAGCCCTATTACAACCAATAAAAGACCCTTTGATTTATACATATTGTTCTAATTCGTAATGGAGATTTGATTTACTTCAGACCAATGGTAATATCGTGTCAATTATGACGTTGAGCATTTCTATACTCCAAACACATTGAGTGATTTGAGTGAATCCTGATAAGGTATTGAGTTAGGTTGCATTAAGATTAATGAATGAATGGATGTCACAATTATATTTACCTTGTTCCAATTATTGTTTTTCAATTGATTGGTGTCTTACATTGGATGATTATTGTGGTCTCTACCTACATTGCCCCTTTAGATGTGAGACTTGGCAAAGAAAGGTAAATGGAGTTTTTGACTTGTTTGATTAAAGCATATTTGAGGACAAGCATGAGATAAGTGAGGGGGAATTTGATGAGTGTTCTAAATTGATAACATTTTCTTGTTAATTCTTCCATGTTGTGGAGTTATTACTGTTGATTTGGTTGTATTATGCTTATTTTCATGCATGATCTTATTTTCCAGAATTAGCAATAAGAATGGTGTATTCTGTATTTTAGAAGCTATAAATACCCCCTTGGGGTAAGGCTCATAACACACTTGTTTTTAGATTTGATTCAGCTTTCGATTATTTTGACTTTATAAAAGTCTTTCTTTTGTTTCATTTTTATTTTATTTTATTTCAAGTTTTATTTTTAAACATGCTAAGTATGACTTATGTTATGCTTAGCTAATTTTCTCATAAGCCGAAAGGTTAAGCGATGACTCAATTCAATATGTGAGAATTGAAAAGCACTTAACATCTTTAGGATGTCATTCTCAGTTTTCTGGAAACTTGGATAGGTAATCGACATATCCTTTAAAATCAAAACACTTTCATTTCAAAAAGTCGACATTGGTCTGGATGTTGTTTTGATTTAAAGTTGGGAGGAAAGATTGGCTTGTAGCATATCCGACTTCCTGTGAACACACTTAGCGACAGTCCGCTAAGGGAAACTGAGATCGGGTTCGATTCTCAACAAGACAACATAATCTGAGTCGAACTTTTTCTAAACTAAAAATTGTTTTGTGCTAACGACGATTGTCGTTGTTGGTTCAATTAAAAGATGGATTTCCAAAGATCAGCCTTGGAAAAATCGGTTACCAAAGTTAAAGCAAGTTACAATGGTTGAGCCTTGTAGACTGTAACTGGTGTAAACCCCGAAGTAAAAAACAATTTCGATGATCAGAAACAAATTGAATCAAAACGATGTTTGAGGCTGCATTTTACCATAGTTATTTTCAACTTTACATTTTCAATCTTCTTTATTTTCACTCTTTATTACTTTTTCTTATCCAATTCTTTTTCCACCAAAACCCTCCTTTATTTTATTTTATTACAGATTGCCTAGATCAGACAACTCAAACTTAAATTTGAGAATTTTCTAAGTCTATGTGGACTGATTCTTACTTTTCTTAACTACGCTATTTCCTTATTTATTTTGAGAAGAATAAATTTATTGGATAGTAAAACGACGTTTGTCAATAATTATTATTTTTCTTCTTTTTTTTATATTTCCTCACTTAAGCTCGGATTTAGGAGTTTTATAACTAGTCAAATAATCATTATATATTCATCTTTTATAATTGGAGACTCAATAAAAACACCCTGACTATTTACGTATTTTACCCTTTTAAATATCTTACCCTTTGATGTTACATTGTAATAAATATTTCTGGTATTTGACTAATTATTTTGTTTAGATTTTAATCTGCACTGCTTTATTAACCAATAACTTTGTCCATTTCACTTGATCTTTAATGCTTAAGAATATAATATCGGATTCATATTAATGGCTCTATTAATGAACATGGCGTGGAGAAATAAGCAAGGAGAGAGGATCTTCAGGCACGATGGTGAGTGGACGGCTTTCGTCGACAACCTTAGCAAAAGGGTATCAAGAGGTGCTTTGAGGGAGGTTTTCAACCATTATGGAAAAGTGACTCAAGTTTTCATCCCATTGAAGCCCAGATTGCACTTTTGCTTTTGTACGGTTTGCTTCCCGTATTGATCTGGAACATTGCATTAGAAGAACGAATAATTCTAAAATCGATGGTCGAGTTATCTCGGTTTCGAAAGTGAGCTCCCATCTCAGGCTCATGGGAGGTTTCAGAAGAAGAGGTTTGTAGCATCTGGAGATAAGACAGGAGAGGCTCTGCATCAGAATCCGAATGCGAAGATTTGGAAAGAGAAGATCAGGGATTTGAGATCGTATGCTGAAGTTCTTACGGGAGAGGGGGAAGCTGGGGAAGCCGCTACCCAGGGGACTAGTCCAGTGTCTGAACCAGAGGAGGAATGCGAGATGTTGAATGGTCGGCTGGAGTTCCATATTACAGCAGAAGATACGAAATGGATTGATCATTCGATAGCAGGGATGATCAAGGACAACTTCGACATAGAGTTCGTTCAAAGAGCATTAGTGAACGAGGGGATAAATGCAAAGCTCACCAAATGGGGCAATACAATCATAGTATAAAATAACGGTTGCGGCATCTGTTGCGGTTGCATATAGACGTTATGTAACGTGTTACGATTGTCGCGGGCATGATTATTCTTCAAAAATCATAATATTTCTAAAATATTTTATCGCGTTGCATTAATACTGCATCACGGTCTTCAAAACTATTACGATGCGGCCGTTACACTGAGTTTCGGCCACAATTTAATACCATGAATACTATGAATTCTTGTATCATAACTTTCAGGTCCTCTTCGGAACTGGAGAAAGCATGGTATACTAAGGATGATGGCTGGGCTTACTGGTTTATATATCTGGCTCCCATTAAGATAAGTCAGGTAATGCTGCTGCTTTCTATTCATGCCTCTTGCAAGGTGTTCCCTTGCAACTCTGGCACATTAGCTTCTTCTCGGCTTTGGGCAACAGGTGGGGTACTTTCATCGATTTGGATGACGCTTCGAGAAACATGGAGAATCTTTCAATGGCGAAGATGATCATTAGGGCTGTAAGCAGGTTCAACATCCCCAGCTCTCTGAAAATTCGATCAAACGGGAGAACGTTTACTATTAAAGTGACGGTGCCTGAGGCTTCATGCGATGTGGTGAATCAAATTCCGAAAGAAGAAACCGGTAACTACGCAGATGTCTGGGATTCGGAGAATGATTCTTCATTTTCTGATGGTGGCGATTTGGCAAGGAACATCCCTCCGGTGAACTGTCAGGGTTTGTCAGTTACTCCTGCCCAACTAGAGCAGGGCCATAATTGCGACGCTTCGGATCTTGCAAAAGGAATTATACCCGAGGCGGTGGCGTCAGAGCAAAAAAGAAATTCTATACCCCTTGTGCATGGTAGCGGTGAGCATCCCAATAATTTAGTGAAAAACGAGGATGGTATGTCAGCTATAGTCAGGGTTAATGTCAACAGTAGAGTGGGCCAAAGGGGGAGTTAATTTGTGCGGGGTTGTTCTAGGGTCCAATTTGATTTGAGTGGGAAGGAAATAAACGTGGTCAATCTGGGCTCCTCTGCTTCATATTTTGGGCGTGAAGGGAAGTACCTTTCAAGCTCAGTTGATTTTGTTCCAGAAAGTATAGAAAACGATAACCCCGTGCTTAATAATATGCTCGCCTCCAGAGAAAGGGAAGGTATTTCTCAAAGGTTTTCTTCTCAGGTTGTCCCTGACTCTCTACTTGTGTATTCGAGTTGAGGAGCGATGAGCTCAAAGGCCGTGATTAGAAGAGTGGCACGCAGATGTATAAGAGAAATTCTTGATGGGAGTGGTCGATCCAGCGTGAATTCCCCGAATAGCCGTCGAGAAGATAAGTTTCTTGAGGAGGCAGAAGCAGTCTGGGAAGTGAGTAATATTCTTCAAATGTCTTTGAAAGGTGGCAAGGAAGCGGTTATTGAAAGAGTCCGAGCTTTGGAGGAGGGATTGAGGAGGGTGATCTGATCCCTTGAGATCGTCTTCTAACCGAGGTATTTTTGCTGTTTTTTAATAAATCTATCTCTAGTAACTTGGAATGTCAGGGGGTTTGGAAGGTCGGAAAAATCTAGAGCAGCTAACAGATTAATCAGCAAGGCGAATGCGAAATTGGCTTTCTTCCAGGAAACTAAATTGGACATCGTGAGGTTGCCGCTGTGCCGGAATATTTGGGGAAGAGGAACGTTTGAGTGGGCTTATAGCCCGGCTGAAGGTTTGGCAGGGGGATTATTATGTTTATGGGATTCTAATTTTTTCAAGGAGTTAGAAAGGTTTATTTTTCGAAGGTTAGTTGTTGTAATTGGGCAGATTCCGAGCAGGAATGTCAGCTGTGGGTTCATCAACGTGTATGGCCCCTCTCAAGATGGGGAAAAAGTGGAGTTTTTCCGAGAGCTTAACGAGTTTATGACAAGTCATTCTATTTCATGGTGTGTAAGAGGGGATTTTAACTCTTTCATTTACCCGGATGAGAAGATCGGTGCACATATAAATGTCAGGGTAATTGGATGGTTTAGAAATTTCATTCAGCAGGTTGGATTGGTTGATTTACCGCTGGTGGGTGGTTCTTATACATGGTCCAACAATTGTAAGGTTGTTGCCATCTTGTGATTAGATAGATTCCTCGCCTCAAATGATTTTCTGCTTGCTTTCTCGTCTGTGATACAAAAGTCGATGCCAAAGTCTATCAAGCCATAATGCGGTACTGCTCGAAGAGGCTGCTGTGAACTGGGGTAAAAAACCGTTTCGTTGTTTCAATTTTTGGTTAGATGAGAGCAGTTTTTCGGCTTCCATTAAATCTGCCATCAAGTCGGTAGAAGAAGGCGATGGTTGTAAGAAAATTGGGCGGGTTTTGAAAGCTACAAAGGTTGCAGCAAGAGAGTGGTTCAAGGAGCAATGCTTTGATTTCCAATTGGAGATTGGCGATTTGGAATCCAAGATTAGTGTACTCGAACAGGAACTGCAGAATTTTGGTGACAATCATACTGTCGCCGCGGAATTAAGGAGCCTAAGATGCAAATTATGGGAAGTATATAGAAAAGAGGAGAGATCTTGGCTACAGAAGTCGAGAGTTAGATGGATTTCGGAGGGAGATCGCAATACAAGCTTCTTCCATAATTTCGCGTCTTCTAGAAGGAGGACTAATTCGATTGTCTCTATGCTTGAGAATGGGGTGCGGGTAGAAGATCCGATTAGTGTGAAAAGTATCGTTCAACCTTACTTCCGAAAGGTCTATGACAAGAAGACAGCTTTGGAGGTGGCAGATTTTAATCTACCTTTTTCAAAGCTTGAAGCTGATCAAGTGAGTTATTTGGAGAGCAAATTTTCTGAAGATGACATTTTTCTAGTGCTAATGAATTCGGATGGAAAGCCCCGGGTCCGGGCGATTTTTAACTTCTTCAAAAAATTATGGCCAGATTTAAAGGAGGGGATTGTGCGGTTCTTTGACGAGTTCTATAATTCTGTGGTATGGACACCTGTTTGAATCATTCATTCATTTCCCTAATTCCTAAGAAAATTAATCCCCAGTCATTGGAAGAATACTGGCCCATAAGCTTGGTCGGTGGTGCCTATAAACTGTTAAGCAAAGTATTGGCAAACCGCCTTCGACTAGTCGTGGGGTCATTGGTTAGTGGTTCACAAATTTTCATCCCCGAAGGCAAATTTTGGATTGTGCGCTGATCGCTAACGAAGTAATAGATTGGATACGGGAAAATGGAGGTTGATTTTAGGAAAGCTTATGATTTAATCGATTGGGGGTTTCTTATGAGGGTCTTGAAGGAGATGGGATTTGGCAAGAGGTGGCGTAAATGGATTTCTGAATGCATTTCTACTGCTTCCATTTCAGTTTTAGTGAATGGCTTTCCCACCGAGAGATTTCAGCTGGCTAGAGGACATTGTCAGGGGTGCCCTCTCTCGCAATACTTTTTAATTTAGTTGGTGAAGCCAAAATCTGATGATCAAGAAGGCAGTCAATGCAAGTCTGTTTTCGGGCTGCTTTGTAGGTAAAGGCTCGTTGGGTGTGGAGATTTCTCATCTTCAATACGCTGACGACTTGATAATGTTCTGCGGGGCTTCGGAGAAAAGGGTATTAAGAGTGTTCGAACTTGCTTCAGGTCTTGAGCTTAATCTGAAGAAATGCACAGTTTTCGGCTTAAATGCTAATGTGAATGATGTTCAGGCGTGGTCTAATCGTATTGGATGTATGGCGGGGAGTCTCCAATCAAACTATCTTGGCCTACCTTTAGGAGCTCATCATAATTATCGTTTGATGTGGGAGCCGGTGATTGAGAAAGTAGATAACCGCCTTGTGGGGTGGAAATCTATTTATCTTTCCTTCGGAGGCAGAATTGCCTTGATAAAGTCGGTCTTGTCTAACCTCCCCATTTATTTTTTGTCTTTATTTAAGATGCCTGCTTTGGTTTACAAGAAATTGAATAGTTTATTTTCAAGGTTCTTGTGGGGTGGCTCGTCGGATAAGAAGGGATTCATTGGATGAGTTGGCCTGATGTTTGTAAGCCATTGGAGATTGGAGGCCTCGGCTTAGTGGACTTAAAGCTCAAGAATTTCGGCCTTCTCGGAAAGTGGTGTTGGAGATTCTGTAGCGAACCTCTTAGCCCGTGAAAACAAATTATCTCCGCAAAATATAATTTCGACCCCGCTGCCATCCTTGAAATCTCATGGGATTTCTTGGCTTTGGCTTGGAATTTCTTCGACATATACTGGTTCTGGTGAAGGCCTCAGATTGAATGAGCTTTTTGAACTCCAAGTTGGGGATGGCAGAGCTATAAAGTTTTGGCAAGACAGGTGGCTCAGAGATCGCCCTTTAAAGGAGATGTTTCCGAGAATTTTTGCTTTGGCCTTGAATAAAGAAGGATTAATTGCAGATTTCGGTGTGAAAAATGCCTTGGGATGGAGCTGGAATATTTTGCTCAGGAGGGATGTCTTTGACTGGGAAAAGTGGCAATGGGAGGCACTGATTCGGTCTCTTAACAGTTTTGTGAGCTCATCGTCAGTCTCGGATTGGGTCAAATGGCTTGGCTCTAGTGATGATTTATATTCAGTTAAGTCAGTGACGCTCCTTAAATATCCCAGCGGGTCTGCCGAGTTTAATTGGAAAAGATTCGTGTGGTTGGGTATCGCTCCTTTTAAAGTGGAAGCCTTTTTATGGAGAGTTCTCATGCGGAGGGTTCCTGTCCGGGCAGAACTTTTGAAGAGGGGGGTTGTGCTGCCAGATTCGTTTTGTCCGCTCTGTTTAAAATTTTCGGAATCTGTCAATCACTTATTTTTCTCTTGTGACATTTCATGGGAAGTTTGGGGGTGCATTTCTAGCTTTGTGCGGAGTCTCGATTGCTCTCCCAGAAGATCCTATCAGCTTTATGACGGTTTGGTGTTGAGTCCCTTCCTTCTAATTTTCATCGCAGGTTTGCTTGGAATATTTTGCCTTTCACTGTTGTCTGGTCAATTTGGTTACATAGGAATGAATTAGTATTTAATGGCAAGGTGCTGGATGTGCTTCATTTGATTTTTTTAATTAAATTTCGAGTTGCTTGCTGGTTAAAGGCTAAGTTTCCAGCCTCCTCTTTCAGCTCGGAAAACCTGGCTGCAGATTTAACTCTCGCGGATGATGCTTTATTAAAGAAGGTTCTGAAGTCCCCCGTCTTGGTTACCTCCTCCGAGAGGTTCCTTAAAATTTAACGTTGATGTGCAATGAGACTGGATGGTGGAGGTATAGGCGGGATTCTCTACAATCTTGATGTTTCTTCACTTTTAACTTTCTTGGTTCCAATTGGGTGCGGCTCCTCGGTTCAAGCGGAAGTTTTGGCTAATGATCATGCTATTAAACTCTTCATGGGTTCTAGGTGGTTTAAAGTCTTCAATCTTATAATTGAATGCGATTGTGCCGCAGTGGTGAATTGGCTTCAGAACCCCGCTTCCACTCCACAAAAATTGGCGCATCTTCTTTATCCTATGTCTGCGGTTGTTCTTCGAGAAAAGTTTTCTGTCAAGCATGTCCTTAGAAGGCGCAACTCGACGGCAGATCAGCTAGCTAAGTTGGCGGTTGGCTTAACTCCAGCCCAGGTGGTGGATGCTGTAACTGAATAATCTGAGGTTTTTATTTCATAGTTGGCTAGATTAATTCCCTCCTGCCTTGCATCAAAGGAAATCAGATCTCTGTTTATTGTTTTGCTGGTTTATGTGTGGGTTTAGTGGTTCCATTCCGGTATGTCCTAGTGTATTTGTTTGTGGTTTGGCCTTGGTATGGTAGCTTGGGGAGGTACTGCTTTGTTTGTTAATGGGTACTCCTTTTCCTCCATTATAGAGAGATTTTTTAACAAGGTCCCCCAATCAATGAGTGTACTTTCTCTTTAAGTAATATATTCCTATTTTTCAAAAAAAAAATATTAATGGCTCTATCATTTAACCAAATACTAAATATTTAACATTCTATTAAATTTTTAAATAACTAATTCGATTAACCAGTCCAACCAGTTAGAGTGATTGAAACAATGATCTGGAAGCTCAAATTTTCAAACAATGCATAGCCCAAAGTCAAGTGAAACACTATGAAGAACCAAGACAGTCGATACATAAGCTTATTTTGCAACACAAGCACAGTTCAGTCAAGCGGTAATAATACATACAGGAAACACAATCAGAGGCCTCTTTGGTTGAGAAACTTTATTGAATTACAAATGGAAGGTAATGTCTGGATCCTGTAAAACATCCCATCAATCTAACCCCAACAGTTTCTTCAATCATGTTTAGACTTGCTTCATGGCTGCAGTAACTTCACTAATAGATACAAATTCTCGCCTCTTCTTCAGGAGCGTCTTGGCTAACTCGAGAGCCCGTCGCTCACAATCTGCTCTTATGCCTGCTTCTTTAATTGATTCAAAATCCTCAACATGAGCAACCCCAACAATTCTCCTGCAAGTTATTAAAACATAAATGCATCCGAAATTGCAGAAACGTATAACTGCAATGGACTGCAAATGCAAGATAACATACTATCATAAACAAACACGGGCAATTATGAGGGCTAGTACTGAAGAATAAGTAGAGGGTCTCACCTTATCATCTTAGCAGCACCAAATCCGAGTGTATCATGGAACAATTCCTTCATATATTTTTCTTGTACAAGCTTCTGAAGCTCAGGGTTGTTATAAATTGCTGGAAGATAAGCCTCCCCAGAGCCATTCTTGTTTTCATCCCAAAGTGCAGTGAACTTTTGGTGGAAAAGATTCCATGTATCCTCAATTGTCTTCAATAGCCACTCTTTGTATATCTGCATAGCAATATGAAGTTCATCATTTCTATATGATACTTCAATATATATATATATATATATATATATATATATATATATATATATTTGATGCTCTTTAGCCTGAAAAGCTATATGCATGATGCACGCATATGTATGTACAACAAACAAATATATAAGCAACTCCCTCGAAAGTTGCATGTAAAAAGATATGTGTGCCTCAAAATCCACAAACGTGCACTTCAATAATCAGAAATCAATTTATTAGGAAATCTTGAAGGAAACCAACAGAGAATACCAATTGATTTGAAGACACAAACGTGCACTTCAATTTATCGTCTTCTTCAATTTGACCAATATCTAATTTCCTAAACTCAATAGTCAGTGCTAATATATTTGGTACTATAAAACAGTTCCGCGAAATTGCTAATAACTTGCGAAGGCAACATGTCCTACAAACAATGAAACAAAGATAACTTATCTTGAGCTACAACTGGTGATGCCATAGAGAATAAATTTTAAACATAAAATTGCAAGATACGATAGCATTGTCATTGAATAACATGACATAAGTAGCTAAACAAGATTTAAATGCAAAGGAAACTTCACTTCCAGTACACTCTAAGATGGAACTATGACTAAAGATGACAAATTAAAAAGACAAATATACAGGAAAGTTCTAATTAGACAATAAGAGAGCAACAAAGGACATACTTTTCTGTCATTCCCTTGATCAGTATGTCCATCTTGTGCAAAGAAAGCTAGAATCAAGTTTCCAATAAAAGCACCAATATCAAATCCCATTGGTCCATAAAATGCAAACTCTGGATCTATGACCTGAGTAGAATCACGGGTAGTCATCACAGAACCGGTATGAAGATCTCCGTGAATAAGGGCCTGAGCTCTTTCACAGAACCTGTATAGAGGGATGTTTAATAACTTGAAAAATAAACCATATAAATGCAGTAAGTAGCATTAAAAAGAAAAGCAACCATACTTAGATTTCAATTCAGCCACTTCAAGTTTCAATACATTGTCCTCCCGGACAGCCTCGGCATCACGATCGAGATAAGGTGAAGTCCAACGATTATATTCAGATACTTTATATGGGTCAGAAAAAACAACCTGCTCAGTGAGCCTGCATAGTTCCACATTCCCACAAAACTCAGCCACTGCACAACATTAAAAGCGGATAAATTAGCATAATATCTGCAAGC